CCCTGGGTGACCCGTGGAGGCCACGCTGGAGGGCACAGGTGGGTGAGGGGCTGGCCCCAGCGCTGACCTCCGTGAGAAGAGGCTCATGGTCCCTTTCAGTCCCTGTGCCGGGACGGGCCTTCTGGAAGGTTCCACACGGGCGCCTCTGCCCCTCCCCACTGCCTCCCATGTAGATAACGTCCTCCCTTTATCTGACGGACAGAGACAGAGGCCCAGAGAGGTCAGGGCACTTGCTCAAGGTCACAGAGCTCCCCGGCGGCCCGCCTGCCCTTGTGTGTGGCCGGGCCCACCACAGGGTCCCATGCCGGTGGCAGGCAGACCTCGGGAGAACAAACAGAAGAGAGAACCCACAGCTGCCAGCTGCGCCCAGAGCTGCAGGGCACGGACAAGGTGCGGCCGAGAGAGCGGGGGCCCCGGGCTAGGGCCTGGGAAGCTGTGCGCGCGAGGGGGACCAGCGTGGGGAGGGTGGGCGTGAAAGTCACTCCAGCAGAGCTCCGAGAGCAGATGGGGTCAGGGCGGCGAGCGGCGAGGTCTGAGGTTTATACACGAGGGGGAAACACCCCAAGGTGGAGCGGGTGGAGACGGCAGGCCCTCGGCCAGAATCCGTCCTCGCTGCCCGAGGGGTGACTGTGGGCCAGCCGCAGGGCCACCCGCAGTGCAGATGACGGACAGGACTCGAGTGAGGACAGGACAGGAGGGCTGGACCTGGCCAAAGACCTGCTGGGCTTGCAGGAGAAACTTATGAAAGCGTGGGAGCCTGGCCAGTGTTGCTCAGTGGTGAGCGTCAAGCTACGAACCAGGAGGTCAGGGTTCGATTCCCAGTCAGGGCACAGGCCCGGGTTATCGTCTCGACCCCCAGTGTGGGGCGTGCAGGAGGCAGCCGATCCGTGATTCTCTCTCATCATTGATGTTTCTCTCTCTCCCTCTCCCTTCCTCTCTGAAATCAACAAAAATATATTTTTTAAAAAATCGCAGCACAGACATTTGACTAAAATAAACGGAAACGCAAGCGTCTAGGAAGGGCCAGCTGCTCCGGAGGAGGAAGAGGTCATGCCTCTCACCCCTCGAGACCGATGTCGCTGCGAAAGGGTGAGGTTTCTGCCTCGAGGATACACACCCGGCCGAGGGAACCGAAGAGAGGCCCCCACGCCCGCCCCCAGGAAGGGAACACGAGCTGATGTGGAACAGCAGGCGCATCGCTGAAGGACGGCCTAGGGCAGCGGTTCTCAACCTGTGGGTCGCGACCCCTTGGGTGGTCGAACGACCCTTTCACAGGGGTTGCCTAAGACCATCCTGCATATCAGATATTTACATGACGATTCATAACAGTAGCAACATTACAGTTATGAAGTAGCAACGAGAATAATGTTATGGTTGGGTCACCACATGAGGAACTGTATTTAAAGGGCCAGAAGGTGGAGAACCGCTGGCCTAGTGCGTGGTGTGGGGCCCGCTGGCCCGCAGGTGGGGAAATGAGAGCTGGGAAGCCCTCCCTCAGCGGGTGGGATCCTTAGCGAGAGGCCGCCTTCTCAGGACGACAGGAGTCATGTGATGACACTGGGGGCCGAGATCTCTCCTACGGCCCCAATCAGCCACCGCAAACGCCCCCCCAACGGGCCGCAGGGCTGTTAGGAGTCTCTCCTTCCAAAGACAGGCGAGGGCCGAGCTGCTGATTGCGGGCGAGGCCGCAGAAATACCGGCATCGCCGGAAACGGGGGGAACACGGGAGAAGGTGGCCCTGTGCTTCGTACCAAAGGCGAGGGGAGTCGTAACATTTACTCATCGTCTCCCATGAGCTGGATGAAGTCCAGACGCTGTGATTTAGTCCTCAGACAACTACTAACACCCACTTTCCACTGAGCCAAACCGGTTAGGGCAACACCCGCTGCTTCCCCAAGGGAGAGACAGGCCCGGGGACCCAGTTACAGGCCGTGTGGGGGGAAGAGGTAGAGAGGAGCAGAGGCTGGGCTGGTCCCGTCTGTGCCATCACGCCCGGCACCCACCGGTCCGACGGG